CCCCTTCCACGTCCGCATCCGGCGGATTCCCACGCCGGCGGGTCCGTCCCGAGGGCGGCTCCAGCCCTTTCGGGAGCTCGTGCTCGGCGAACTCAAGCAGGCCGTAGACACCGCCGCGGAGGAGCAGGTGGAGCAGCTTGTCCACCGCCGGCGCGGCCTCCTCGCGCGCGATGATGCGCTGCTTCTCGAGAAGACGAGCCCGATGCAACATCGAATCCGTCGTCGGAGCGGAAACCCGAAAAAAAAAAGAATAATAAAGAGGGGGGGGAAACGAGCGCGCACCTGTCTGCGGATCCTTCAGGTGCTTGCTAAAAAAAAAAAAAAACTACCTTCGATTTTCTCTTTGGACCTTCTCCCGGAAATGATTTCCTTTATGGCTCCCCCTTTCCCCACCTTTTTAGAACCGTTTGATTTAATATATACAGATATATGTGGGTAATGTTGGATTCCTGTACATCCATAGATATAGGTGTGTGTGTGTGTGTGTGTGTGTGTGTGTGTGTGAAAAAAAGAAATAGATGAAAATAGTAAATGTAACAGAGAACGTAAACATAGTTCATGGCCTTAGAACTTCGCATCATCATGAAATTTCTTAATAATGACAGCATATTTTATCCAGACCCAAGGCGAAAGAAGTATTCCATAAAACGGCATACCCTATCTCTTTCCACTTGAGATTTTTCCTTTAAGCGCACCACACCTCCGAATGAATATATGTAGATATATATCGAGAGAGAGATAGAAAGAAAAGCCGGGGGGGGGGGGGGAAGACAAGAGGGATGCCTGCTTATATTTAAACAGGAAATAGTCACCGCTTGCAATAGTAAACATCTCACAGACACCAGCCACCTCCCCTCCCCCTTCTCCGCTCGTTTCCACAGGAAGACTCCATTCGAGACTTCCTTACCATGGTGACGGGACGCCTCCTTTCCCAATCCCCCCTCCTTACAAATGGAAAAACATCAAATCCCCACCAAAGGAGAGCAGTGGACGCAAGGGGTGCGATATAAAACTCCTTGGAAAGCGACTTAACGGCGCGTTCGTGGCCGCCTCAGCGGAGGAGGAGGTAGTGGCGGTGGTGGTGGTGGTGTAGATCCTTCCCTCGGTGAGGATCCTCCCTTTCGGATTGAACGCGGCGTAGCTGTCGTCGCTGAAGCCGAGGCCGATGAGCCCCGTGTAGAGCCCCACCGCACCGCAGGTGATAAAAGGGAGCGCCCCTCCCCCTCCTCCACCAGCGCCTCCGTCCTCTCCCGCGTTGAGCAGGGCCCGCACGTCCATCCGCAGCGCCGGTTGATTTAATTTTCGCGTATCAAACAGGCAGAGTGTGTGGCGCGTCATCGCGGCGATGCTAAAGGTGCTCGACGGCGTCATCGCGATGGGGCCGACGCCGAGAACGGCCTCCCCCCCGCCGATGGCATCCTCCGCGGCGGGGAGGGCGGCGACCGCGCTCACCCCGCCCTGCCGCTGCCGATCGTCGTAGTAGCGAACGACGCCGTCGGCGAAGCCCGCGAGCAGCGCCCGCTGCGAGAGGTGCGCGCTGAGGCAGGTGAGCGAAGGGTTCCCCGGCACCTCCAGCCGCTGCGCGATTTGCTCCTCAGCGACGTGAAAGCCGTGGATCTCCGTCGCCCCGGAGGCCCCAATCGGGCCGCCGTAAAAAAGCGTCCGCGTCGGGCCATGATAGACCGTCCGAAGATCAATCCACCCCCCCCGCGGCGGGGGGAAGCAGGCGGTGAACACAGCCGCCTCCGTCGGCGTCGAGCCCCGATCCCAGACGCCTTTCATCAGCGTAAACCCCCCTCGTTTGTTCACCAGCAGCAGCCCGGAGTGTTCGGAGAGGTCGTTGATCACGAGGACGTCGTGGATCGGCGCCGCGAGGCGGACGGGGAAGCTGTTCAGCAGCGTCAAGGCGCTGAAACCTTCATAGGAGGCGTAGAGAATGCGCTGGTTCTTCGTCGCCATCACGAAGGACGTCTCCAGCGCCCGCGGCGTCGCACACACCACCGTATCCGAAGGAACGAGGCTCGGAAAGATCTGATAGCGCGAGCCGCCGCCAAGCCGCATGCGAATCGGCCGCGTC